AAAAATGCTTTGCAACTGAGACCATCTGAGGCCTGCTGTTCAGTTTATCCAAAATTGCTGACACACTGGTTCTCTAAAAAAGAGTGCTCTGAAATCCACCCTAAAGTCAGCACTGGGCGGATTAATTAGAGCTAAATCAATATGGGCTGGATACTAATTATAATGATGCACTCGGCACTAAAAATTGCTGCCGCCAGCAGGCGTTGTCAGTGTTTTAAGAGTTTAAAGTTCAAAACTAACCAAAAAGTCACCGGCAGATGTGCAGATTTGCCAGCAGACGCGCACATTTGCCCAAATGATAATTAATTAGGTGGCGCAATTAGTTCACAAGCAGTGAGTGGTAGTGCACAGAGCGCCCTGCACCGTCGACTACGATCACGAATATTCACTTTCACTGCTGACCTTGAATTTTAAAGTGCAGTGCTGTGAGCTGTGAACTGGGATTTAATTGCTGGCAACTGCACACAGTCGCCAGAATGGGTAAGTAACAGAAGTGTGCTGATGAGTAGTGGCCCCCAAAAAGAAGGTGATTGCCCAATGTGCCTTCAACTACTCAGAAGCACATCTCGCACTGTTTGGTGCAGTGGAAATGGAGTGTCGCTGCAGCGAAAGCGAAAGTCGTCTGCGTTGAGGCTGAAGAGCATTGCTCCTCCGAAATGATTCTGCCGAATCCAGTGTGCCTTGGCTCTGGTGCTGCTCTCGTCCTCGTAGCTGATCCAGTCGTAGCCATTGAAGGCGTAGGCCACCTTTGCATGATGATCCACCTTCTGAGTGAAAGATAAATGGGTGTAAGGGAAAATGGGCACTTGGCACGACGGTCCAGCCAGCCAGCCAACAAACAGCTCCTCACCTTAACGGTGTTGTTGAGATTGAGAAAGTCACAAACTTCAGAGTAGGTACTGTCGCCGTTGCTACTAACAGCCAGCGACCCGGGGTAATTTAGGTATTTGGAGTAGAGGGTGAAACGCTTGCCATACGTCGGAATGCCCACCATGATCTTTTCCTTGGGCAGGCCAATCAGGTGCCAGTAGTTGGCAGACCACTCTATGTTGAAGGTACTGTGTGGTTTCAAGTTTGGTTTGTTAGATTAATGTGTTTTTGTTCAAATAACACCCGAATACCTGGTGATGCCAAAGTCCACCGGTCGAGCGTGCAGTGCACTGTTAAAACCGGTAAATGGCCAGTATATCTTGTAGGTGTAGTAATCGTAAGTCATCAGATTCACAAAGTCCACGTGTTGAGCTATCTCTTTGGGCCTGTAGCAGACATTGATCATGGTGATCTGGGCCGCTACTGCTGCACTCAAAATCAGCCGTTTACCCGTTTCTGATTGGTGACGTGTAAACTCATGACGAATATCCTAAAAATGGTAGTCAGTGAGCTTTTTTTCAGTTTGCATAGCTCAAACTCACCTTGAGTAGCAGAGAAAAGTTTTCTCGTTCAAATCTACGCGAAAAATTGCCCAAGTAGCCCCAAGATGGAAATTCCTGTTAATGCAAATCAGTCACAAACCCTTCAAAATTTTAAATCACACCAACAAATCACTACCCAGTCAATGTCCACTCCATCAAAACCATTGGTGGTGATGACTTCGAGAATAGATGCCGCAAAGCGTTTGCGATATTGCGCAGTAGAGGTCGCCAGCTCAAAGCCACCGGCTTAAAAAAATTATTTTAGAAACGGAAGCCTAGGTATTTAGCGACGAAAAATGCCAAAAACATACCTCCACCGCCTAAATAAAAAATAAAAAAATAAAATTTATCACATCTAAAAGACATTCAGTTCAAGTACTAGTACCTCCAACGGAGAACATCAATTTGGTGTGAGGAACACTGCTCGAATCGATGATCTGCCTGCAAAGCTGCGAGAACCGGACAAAATGGTCATCTTTAGTAATGCCGCCTGTGGAGTCGATGGAGGTGAAGCCGATGATGATGTGAGAGCACAAACTCCGCTGCACGACAACGTCCACTGGAAGGTAAAAGTCCGGTCGGAGGTAGCACACACGACTGACCATCGGAGGTGCCACCGATGATGTCACCGTGAACAGCAGTGACAGCAACAGCCGATGCAGCAGTCTTGGCAGTGAGTGCCTGACCACCATGTCTGGCTGGCCAACTGACAGCAGGAGCTGCCTTTCTTCGTTTCGGCACTGGCACTTCGACTGGTGCCCACTGCAGAGAGCCGAAGACTGCTACTCCAGAGCGCCCGGTTCGGCAGTGATCGGTGGAGCACTGTGGCAGAAGACGAGCAGACGACCAGTTCAAGATCAGCGTCCCACTTTTCGAACATATACAGACTGCCACTGTGAGAGGCAGACAGACGCTGACAACTGGCAACTGTCGCTGTTGATGGGCATTGAATAAAGGCACTGGAGCAGCAAGTACTAGTCAAATAGTAATGCAAACAAACATTGGGCGCCTTTATCGCTGATAAATAATGGCGGTAATGGAGGACCAGTGCTGCAGAAGTCGCTGTCAGTACCGGCAGCAGTCCTGCCAGGATCAATGCCACACATTTCCTCGATGGCCTCAATCGCTGGCACAGAGCAAAGAGCAAACGACAGCACTGAAAACACTGCTGAATCGATATCACAGTTAGAGCATTACCCAAAGCAGACCACACACACACTCAGAGAAACTACAACAGTCTTCACTTTCATCGCCCACCATTGATCGTCTTCTGTTGGCGCCAGTGCTGATGGCCACTTTCCCACAAGGACAAAGATTCATAGAGCATGCAACTAATACGACCAAAAATACCCAAATGCTGAAAATCAGTGCAACTCCGTCAGCGGCATCGCTAGATAAAAAATTACTGCTTGTTGTAGTCCTTTACTTTTATGAAAACTGATAACCATCTATTTTGAACTTGTTAAAAACGCCTTCTCTAAATAGTTTGGACCTTTTGTTCTTCTTAGAATCAGAGTTCAAAAGTAAGTTCATCAGTGTGACACAGAAATGACAAGGCATCTTGCAGCGCCCCCTTCGTCTGACTTTGCCCAAAAAACCACTGCTCATAAAAGAGAAGCAGTCATCACTCGCTCGCTTTCACTGTCTGCCGCGACTTTGTTCTGTAAGCCATGATCGAACCCTTTTCGACAAACTCACTCATCTCAATCGACACTCTCGGCAAGATGGCATCCGTGAGACTTCAAAGTGAATATGCTCGCCGGAAATTGGCCGCTTTGGAGGCAACCGTCGAAGCCCTGTTGTATAACAACACTCCATTCTCTCCGATCGTCAAGGAGAAAATACAACAAGTTGAAGATATCCTCGTCGAAGTTCCCTTAGATGACGAGAATGTCACGGAGATCTGGCGAAAAAAGCTTACTCAATGGTGGATCAGATTCGCCATTCAGCAGATTGAAAGTAAAGCAGAAGCGATGAAGTTCCTTATGCCAAGAATTCAACCATTTAATGACGCGATCGCTTCTACATCGGCTGGAGAGAACTTTTATTTGCTTCCAAAGCAATCACCGATTGAAATTATGGCCTCTCTAATTTCGAAACAAGGACATCAGTCTCAACTAATACCAAAAGTTTCATCATCAACTTCGGAAAGCGAACCAGCCACTGTTCCCTTGCCCAAGGCCAACCCCTCTCATCAAGTTTTGAACAATTCGCAAAGGGGCTCGGCTCCTGAAGTTTCAGGAACGATTTCGATTTCATCTAAAGAATGTATTCCCGCAAATGCTGTAATTGAAAAGCCAAAAGTCGTTCCCCCAAGCTGTACAGCAGCTATCATGCCGGAACGCAAATCGACTTTTGAGCTAGCTCCTCATGATCTCGAATTGAGTTCAGCCCAAAAAGCACCGGTTTCTGCGCCTACTGCTCCGAAAGAACGTCGACTCTCAAACTCATCAAAAGACCGTCCAGAAAATGCTGCCCCTGTTTCCAGTGAACTTTTTTCCTTGACAGCTCATAAGCCTAAAGAGATTGCTCCGCCAACTGCCACCAACAATGTTGGTCATCAAACACCGGCTTCAACTGTCACTAAGTCTGAGCCGGTCTTCGAACCAGTCTCTAATGACTTTGACTGGGGTTCAGGGCCAGTGGCACCAGTTGCTGCCCTTGGTGCTCCGGTTGTTCACAATGAACGCTATTTCTCGTCTACTCCAAAGTCGAACGTCATTCCACCGAGCACAAGTACTCGTCCAACAGCTGTCGTACCGGAGCGCAAATCAACCTTTCAGCCAGTTTCTGAAGACTTTTACAGGGGTTCTGCTCCTTTTGCTCCCAAAGAACGTCAGCCCTCAGGTTCATCGCAGAACTATCGCCCAGCAGCGAGAATAGAGGCAGTTGCAACAAATGTTCGCCCATCAAATGCTGCCCCTGCTCCAATTGTTCACAATGATCGCTTTTCCTCGTTTACTCAAAAGCCAAAAGAGACAGCTCCACCAACTGGGACTAACTACGGTGGTCATCCGGCACGGGCTTCAACTGTCGCAGAATCTGAACGTGTCTTCGAACGAGTTCCCGCTGACTTTGACTGGGGCTCAGCGCCAGTCAATTAGTAATCGACAACGCCAGTTTTACTTGATTGATAGAAGCACATCCACCATAACCGATAAAACAACCTAGTCATCACATTTTCCCGAAAACAACCACCGAAGGATCTCTCTCAGATTAATGGTCAATATTTCGTTTAACTGTTTATTCTGTTATAGCCTTTTATACTAATTTTTTCTATCGATCTCAAATAAAAACCACATAAACTTTGTTAACATTACCAATCTAACTGTCGTCAGATTGAGGATTCGCAGACTGCCTTATTCCCTCTTTCCTCTTTGCTGTATACTTCGCCGACTGCATGGTGTATCTGAATGGTGCGCGGCGCCGACTCGATCCATTTCTTTGGGATTCAGTTCATTTACTGAGCCACTCTGGCCACTGGTGATTGCTCTCCTTGGTTCACAGTGCTCCGGAATCATCCCCTTGTAGTTGCACCAAGCCAAGAAGCCTCGATGAAGAGTTGACAGCGAAGCGCTGAAGAACAAGATGCAAAAGTACGAAAAGTTGGACAAGATCGGCGAGGGCACCTATGGAACGGTGTTCAAGGGGAAGAACCGGGAGACGGGCGAAATTGTCGCCCTGAAGCGAGTCAGACTGGATGATGACGATGAGGGGGTGCCTTCTTCTGCACTTCGGGAAATCTGTTTGCTAAAGGAACTGAAGCACAAGAACATTGTCAGGTCTGTGTCTGGGTGATCAACAAAGCGTTCCTTGTTTGTTTACATTTTTGTGGATTCCCTTTGACAGACTCTACGATGTCCTGCATAGTGACAAAAAGTTAACTCTGGTCTTTGAACACTGCGACCAAGATTTGAAGGTACTTATTACGGCTGTTTTGCGACTATCATTTGACTTGAGTTCCTTTGAAACAGAAATATTTTGACAGCCTCAACGGCGAAATTGATGCCGATGTTGTGAAGAGCTTCATGTTTCAGCTTTTGCGAGGACTTGAATTTTGCCACAGGTAATCGACTTTGAGTGATCTTTGCGGTAAACATCATTGTAAAAAATTCAATCTCACCACAGTCACAATGTTCTGCATCGAGATTTAAAACCTCAGAACTTGCTCATCAACAACAACAATGGTCAACTGAAGCTAGCCGACTTTGGCCTGGCTCGCGCTTTTGGCATTCCTGTACGCTGCTTTTCTGCCGAAGTAGTGACCCTTTGGTACCGGCCACCCGATGTCCTCTTCGGTGCCAAACTGTACACTACTTCAATCGACTGCTGGTCAGCTGGCTGCATCTTTGCCGAGTTGGCCAATGCTGGGAGACCGCTCTTCCCAGGCGTCGACGTTGACGATCAGCTGAAGCGCATCTTTAAACTGCTCGGAACGCCCACCGATGATAGCTGGCCAGGCGTCTCTCAATTGCCTGACTACAAAATCTTCCCCTTTTATCACCCGACGACAAACTTCATGCAAGTAGTGCCAAAGCTGAATCCCAAAGGACGCGACCTTCTGCAGAAGCTTCTGGTCTGCAATCCGGCGCAGAGAATGTCCGCCGGTGAGGCGATGCTGCACCCTTACTTCTCCGACTTGTCTTCATCAGTTCGAAGCGGTTAACAGAGGGCGGAGGCAAGCACCCTCTGGGAAGGAACCAATCACTGGGAACCAATCTACGTCCTCATGTCCCTCATCTCCGCCAGTGTGTCCAGTATTTAGCCAATAATATACTGCATTTTTCTAATCTAGTTTACTTTGTGATATCTTGACAAACCTAAATATATAAATGACAACGACAATATGATTATTTATTGAAAAGAATATAAATAAAATACATTCAATCATGAGAGGTGGTTAAAACCATCATCATCCGTTTATTTCATTGATTTAAGTAAGCGCCTCAGTATCATCATCAAACAGGCAGGCGGCAACAGCGGTGTAATAACTTAGCGAACAGTGTGCACAATGTCGTCAATCTTCAGCAGCGAGCGGACCGTCTCCGAGGCCAGGTTGATGGCCGAAATGGAGACCTGCAGCGGCTGAATGACGTTCTCCGCGAGAATGTCCGTGACGGTGCCCAGACGGACGTTGATGCCAGCGTACTTAGAGCCATTGGCGTGGCGGTTTCGCAGCTCAGTCACCGTGGCGATCGGATTGAGGCCGGCATTCTCCGCCAGAGTGTAGGGGATAATCTCGAGAGCGTCGGCAAAAGCTCGGAAGCAGATGCCATCCAGGCCGACGAGTGATCGACTGTACTCGGCCAGCTTCTGCGAAAGCTCAATCTCGAGCGAGCCGCCGCCGGTGATGAGTGCAGGCTTGATGACCAGACAGCGAATGACGCAGAGGGCATCGTGCAGCGACCGGTCGGCCTCCTCCAGCACCAGCTTGTTTGAGCCACGAATCACCACGTTTACCGTGCCACTTGAACTGGGCGCCGAGACGCCTGAAAAGCGAATAAACTTGGCGTCTGGTACCTCCTCCACGAGGTCGGCAGAAGCCAGTGCCTCAGGTACAAAGTGGTCCAGGCTGGCAATTGGTCGACAGCCGAGCGCCTTGCAGACAAACTCAATGTCTTCGCGTTCCACATCACGCACCACTGCAATTTTGGCCTTGTTGAAGAAGTGAATGGCCATCTCATTGAGTGCATCACGGAGGATAGACTTTTGAATAAGCAGCACATTGCAGCCGGCCTTTTTCACTTGCTTGACGATGTTGAGGATGTAGAGGCGTTCCTCGCGAAGGATGCGATCCATTTGGGTGTAGTCAGAGATGACAACCTGATTATCCATGTCAGTCTTTGGGGGAGAGACGCAAAACTGAATCAGGCCGATCTTGGCCTTCTCCACCTTTTTGCTGCCAAAATCATTGGCGAATTTCTGCGGCAAAACGAGACCATCAAACATTTGAGTATCATCCAAGGTACCACCTAGCTTCTTGATGATTTTAACATCACGCAAGTCGGCGTTGTTGTTTTCCGACACCTTCAGCACGGCGTCAACGGCAATCGGGGCCAGGAGAGAAGAGTGTTGAGAGACCACTTTGCTGTTCAAGCTCGTGGCAGCTGCTTTGATCAAAGTGTCCCGATCTTCGAGATTGACGGGGATGGCTAGACTTTCCAAGATCTCAATGCACTTAGAGGCGGCTCGCTGAAACGAGTCCGAAATGGCCGACGGGTGAATACCACGCTTCAGCAGCTTATCAGCGGCATCAAGAAGAGAGCCGGCCAAAACAACAACAGACGTGGTGCCGTCGCCGGCTTCAACGTCCTGCGCCTTGCTCAGCTCAACAAGCATCTTAGCTGCCGGGTGAAGTACTTGCATCTGCTTCAGGATCGTGGCGCCGTCGTTGGTGATGGTCACGTCTCCATTTGCAGCCTCGATCATCTTGTCCATGCCCTTAGGACCGAGAGAAGTGCGAATCGCATCGGAGACGGCTTTGGCGGCGATAATGTTGGAAGAGCGAATCTCCGTCGGCTTCTCCTTGTCCTTGAATGACTTTTCGTTGGCCCTCGAGGCAACAGCGGGTGTAGTGGTGGTCATCGTTGCGTTGGATCGGTAGAGTGTTCTCGGTAAACAGACAGACTTGCTGGCTTCTAGGAGGCTACGGGAAGATTTGAAGAAGTGCGTTCACGCCTTCAAAGAAATAGACAAAGCGTGTCTATTTGAACACCTCCCATGCTGCGGCAATTTTAGACTACATCTACCCTACCGGGTGCAGTGCAGAACTTTCTGGCAATCTCAAATGAAGGCGGCAAATACAAAAAAACAGAAATTACTTTGATTTAGTCGCAGAATTTGATTAAAAATTTTAATAAATGAAAAAAAGTACACCTTGAGATTAATGAGATATAAAGAGGTAAGAAATGATGATCGACAACTAATAATTACTTTAATAATGAGCTCGTTGTTTAGTCTTTGCGGACTCGCTTCGGAGCCAGCTCAAGGGTGACATCGCCATCAACTTCATTGTTTCGCTTATTACTGTTTCCGTCGGTAGTCTCATTTGCCATACTGTCGTCGGGTTGAGGCACTTGAGGAATGTTTTGAGAGTTCTCGACAATAGGCTTGCGAGTGATCACCGAGTAGCCGTGGTCGTCTTTGGAGACCTTGTAGTAGTACTCGCCCAAGGCACCGTCAAAGCACTCGAGGAACTGCTCATCGTGTGTAATGATCACAATTTGAAAGTTACGATTCGACCTGATTAAGCTGACAATGGCACGCGCGAAAGAGTGGATGTTGGCCTTGTCCAGGTTAGTGGTCGGCTCGTCCAGGGTGAGGACGGCAAAGTTTCGGCAGAAGATGACCGCCAGCGCCAGGCGAATAATGAGACTGGCGAGCACTTTTTGGCCAGCCGAACAGCGACCTTTCATGTCCATCTCCTTGCCCTTCTTCATCATGACGACTCGATAGTTGTAAGTGCGCCGTTTATCACTAGCACTTCGCTCCTCTTCATCGGAAGCAATGAGAATGTAGTCAATGTCCTTGCCTTGGTAGGCAATCTCCCAGAAGCTCTTCAGCAGTTTGTTGATCTCCTCCATTTTACACTTGTGAAAGGAGGAAATGGAGTAGTCAAGCGCTTTGTAGTACTTGTTCAGATCGCCAGTAGCCACTTCAGTGACAATCATCTCCAGCAGCTTTTCCTTGTAGTTCTTTTCGGCGCTTTCATAGTTGCCACTCAGTTTGGCGGTTTGCTTCGAAATGCGCTCATCAATCTCGCCGATTCTCTGCTTGGCAAAGGTGATCTTAGCCTTTATCGTCGCTAGCTCGGCGTTCGTCCTTTCACTAGCCTCCTTGATGCTGTTAAAGTTCATACTGTTTAACTTTCGACGTTCTTCATTGAGCTGTTCCTGTTTTTCACGGATCTCCTTTTGCAAATTCATAAGCTGCTTGTATTCGCCAATCGATCGGTTTCGCGATTCAAGAGCAAAAATTTCTATTTAAAAACATAAAAACAATTTGAAATCTCTTAGCAAAAAAGTGTAATTCTTACCTTTTTCAACTGCTGCCAATTCACTTGTCAAACTCTTCTGTTTCTTTTCGATATCACCCCACTCACTGTTGATAAGAAGCAAGCGCTCTTGTATGGCGTCATGAATACCCTGCACAGTAGTCAAATTAGCCCGAGCCGCTTCAAGCTCCTTCTCCAGGGGGTCCACTCGTTCTTTCAATGAGGGCATTTCACTTTTGATCGCAAGGATGTGACTGGTGATACCTTGAATAGCATCGTAGTTGGTTCGCAGCTTTCGCAGTTTAGCGCACATCTGCTCAGCTGCCTGAATTTTCTCGTCGAGTCGTTTCACCTCTTCAGTGCAAGCCAGTGTACTCTTCTTCAGACTTTCAACAAGTGACTGCTTGTCCACACTCTGGGCCGTCTTTTTGGAGGTCCACACTGAGCTGAGGTCATTCTCGCAAACAGGACACATGTCACACTTTGAAAGGGTTTCCACTTGACTATTAACCACTGGAATTAGGCCGGCATGTTTGGTTTTTTCGTCTCGAAGTTGAATTAGTTCTGACTCTTTTTCCTGGAGATACGCCACAAAGTTGTCGAAATTGCATATGCCGTCAAACTTGCTCTTATTAAGGTCCAGGTCTTTGATCCGTTGACTTAACAGCTGTTGCTTACTTTCAATTTTGAACTTACTTAAGTCAAGTTTCTTCTCTATAGATGAAACATTATTAGATATGAGGCTCTTTTCCTGTGACACCTTTGTAGATAACTTATAAAAAGTTTCTCTATAAAAAGAAAAAATTGTTGAATAAAAAAATGATAATGATTGCAGCATCTATGACAAACCTGATATTGTTTGGGTTGATTTTCACTTCAAAAAACAATTTGGCCAACTTTTCTTTGTTGTCTTCCTTTAACTTGTTTAGAAACGAGATTTGCACTTGGTTTTGCTGAGTCTTTTCAATTTCTGAATTTTTCAGCTTATCTTTAAGCTCAACTTTTTTATCGAGTTGCAGTTTTAAATTATCATCAAAGTTTTTCAACTCTTCATCGACTTCTGATTCACTTTTGCTTAAAATTGAAGCATTAATTTTTCTTTTGATATACTCGGCGGATTTGCGTTGTTCGGCAATAGTCCCTTCAATTGTCGAAATTGAATTGTTAATATCCTGAGCGTCGACTTCTTTGTCATTCAATTCATCGAGTTTTTCTTTAACGACCTAAAAATCAAGTTAATATATAAAAAATAGAATCACTACAGCGACATACCTTAATCTTTGATTCGAATTCTTTCACTTTAGCCTTTTCAATGTCCATAAGAGCACGATCTTCATTTAATTCTTTTCTGGTATTTTCGGCTTCTTTTTTCAGATGTTCAAAATATCTCACATCTTTCTCCAGAAGTTTGAACTTTTTTACTTCCTCATCACGCGTTTTCTTGATCTTCTCCAGAATTTTGACATAGCCAATAGAGCCGAAAATGTCGTCAAACTTTTCCTTTAGTACCTTTCCCTCACTAAGCGGCCAGTTGGTTTCCTCTTGATGGCAAAATATGACATTATTTAACAAGGCTGAAATATTGCAAGTTAGAATTAGTTCATTGGCAAGTAAGGTAGCAAAAGATTAAAACCTTTAGAGACTCCAATAAGCTCGATGACTTCGTTGTTGATATCGGCACACTTCTGGTCAATAGATTTGCCCTCACGCTTAATGACTTGATTCATCTGTTTAAATGTAATTGACGGGTTGCTAGAAGTCTTCGACTTCCTACAAGTCGTCTGCATACTGCGTGTGATAACTGTGCTCTTGTTCTCAACATCGGTAAATCGCAGTCGAATCTGTCCGCGAATGGTGGCCTGATTAGCGAAGAGAACATCGTGAACAAAGCTTCGGCCCATATTGCAGTTCGGCGGGAGATTGCCAGTGGCGGCATATTTGAGAGACTCGATAACGGTAGTTTTGCCGGCGCCATTCGGTCCGAGGATCAGCGTCAGAGGGAAGAACTTGATCTCCTGACAGGTGTCCGGATCAAAGCTACGAACCCCCTGAATGCTTAGCTTTTGAAGGTGCGCCATTGTTGGCGGTGAAGGGGCAGTGAATGCTCTCTACCAGGTTACTTGATGATGGCACAGTTAACTGTGATCGATAACTGTCGGCAAGATGACTGGCGGGCGAGTTGCTTGGGTGAAAGTAAACAAATCGCCTGCTGCTTTCGCAATGAAAACGTTTTTTTCAGTTTCCATCCACTTCTGTGTGATGGCGCAACTGTCGGCGACAGTCTGCTGAAAAAAGCGCTCAGCGTCGCCGATGACAAAAGCCGCTGCAATCTGTCTCTCGCTCTGTCCGTTTACGACTGTTGCTCGCGTCTGGACTTTGTTTATTTCCAGTTTTGTCTAACTGCATCTCCCACTTTGGACTTTACGTTCCTTCTTTACGTTCGCCCGAAGTGAGGCCCATCACACCGACCAAGACGCATCATGGCTTCCAACATGCGAAACAAAAAGGGCCGCGGAGCGACCAAGAAAAGGGCTCAACGAGCTACTTCCAACGTTTTTGCCATGTTTGATCAGGTAACTGTGATTTTATTCTTTTCCGTTTGTAAAGCTCTTATTACGCAGACTGCCTGATATTTAGATTTAAGATTAGTTTTGTTTCAACCATCTAGGGGTTTTAATTTTAACGCACACTTTTTGTAAAGCTAAAACTTGTGTACGTTTCAGTTTCCGTCATTGTCAGTGCTAGGTGTGGCATATGGTTTGTTTTCCTACTGTACATCTACTGTACAGTCATGCAATTTTTGTTTGCATCCGCACTTTGCCTATGATAGCAAATGTTGCCTCTCTTCTACTGACAGTTGATGAAGCGTCGCCTCAATAGCACTTGAACATTTTAAGGCACCAAACATGGCTTTTATTTCATGCTCTCCTCTGCTTCTTTTCAATAGGCACAAATTCAAGAGTTCAAAGAGGCCTTCAACATGATTGACCAAAACCGCGATGGCTTCATTGACAAGGAAGATCTGCACGATATGCTTGCCTCGTTGGGAAAGAATCCCGAAGATGAGTATCTGGATGGCATGATGAACGAGGCCCCTGGTCCCATTAACTTCACCATGTTTCTGACACTTTTCGGTGAGCGCCTGCAAGGCACTGACCCGGAAGATGTTATCAAGAACGCATTTGCGTGCTTTGACGAGGACAACACTGGGAATATCAACGAAGAGAAGCTGCGAGAGCTTCTCACCACAATGGGCGACCGCTTCACTGAGGAAGACGTAAGTTTTGCTTGTCAGTCAGTCATCGGGCATGCATGCAGCGTGCTGATGCTATTTTTGTGCACTCCTTGTTAACCGCTGCCTCTTTCTCTCTTTTTTCCCTGTTTCTCCAGGTTGATGACATGTACCGTGAGGCGCCCATTGATAAGAACGGCCTCTTCGATTACCTCGAGTTTACCAGAATTCTGAAGCACGGTGCCAAAGACAAGGATGACCAGTGAAGCAGAGTGCTTTCTTTGTTCCATTAATTGCGTATAAAGTATTTATTGTTTTGTATTATTCAAATACCGCCTTTTTATACCACGACCACCTTTTTTACCGGATTTTCAATCATGGATTTTTATTTGTAAGCACAGACACCACAAGCACATTACCTCCAATGACACTGATGCCAACAACGACGACGACGACTACCACCACCGAGGCATTTGTCTTCTTTCTGGCCGATTGCTTGCCACTTGACACTCTCTCTCTCCCCATCTGAGTGAATGGTCAGAGCAGTGCTGCTGCTGACGCCCATCCTCAGCATCCGCATCTTGGCCTCTTCTTCCCTCAATGTGCCCATCGTCTCCATCGGCCATGAAATCTGAAACCTCCCCGTTGTTTGGTACTCTGTCTCTCTCTCTCTCTCTCTTTCCCCCTCTCCGTCTTCTATTTCTCAAAACGCAATAAATTGTCCCTGCTTTTCATTCTCTTTGTTGGTCTGCCTGCAATCAAACTAAAGGTCTCCTGGAAGTACCCGAGCCCTAATGAATGCCAGTGACGGTGATGATGCCTCATTATCGATTGGCCAAGCACACAGGCAGGAAGGCACTTTGGGGACAACAAGGGACAGTGAACGGAAGAGAATGCTTGTCTGCTGATGCTGCTTCAGTTGCAGCAATTGCTCGTTACTCGGCAACGAATGCAGCAGCACTCTTTCCCTCCTATGTGCATTCACTTCTCTCTCTCTCTCCCTCTCCCCTCATCATCATTCCGGCGACATCGTCCAAGTGCAGCCTCAGAGATGTGGTGACTGCACATCTTCAAGTGCCACTCGTGCACAGCCAGATGCTATCAGGCGTTCGCTGTGCGATGATATAAATATAAAAAGGCACAAAGCATCTCCTTTGTAGGACAGACACTCTCTCAGCTCAAGAAAGCATCACTTCTAATTAAGCTAATTTCTAATTTATTTAGCCCCTCGATCAGCAGTGTAGAACAGAACTACCGAGGCGCTCCAGACAAACTCTGTGCCACTTGCTCTCTCTCGTTGGCCTTTTTCTCCCTTTTCACTGCCCCTCTGCCTGTCCTCCCCCTCCTGTGAAAGCCTCCACTGCGGCGCCGGGTGAAACCGAAGACGACCCAATACTAAATTAATTCAATTCTGCCTTGTTTGCACTTTGCCTCGACTCTGCCACATCGGGCCCCATCATTCTGCTTAGCTTAGTTAGGTTAGCGGCGTCAGCGACGTCTGCAATGGCTGGTGGCACTGCAATTCACTCGCATTAATCCTAATTGTGTGTGTGTGTGTGCCCGTTTGGCCGATTCAGCTTCAACCTCAGATGCTCAGCAATGCCTGGCGTACGCTCGAATTATCAGGCAAAGTTGAAACACAAAGAGATCTCTAGACTGTGCGCTAAGTTCGGCCAGAGTCAACTGCTCCGATGTGAGCAGAGGAAGGCCTGGTGACATGTTCCCACTGTCCTTCACCGTCGTCACTATGGTCCCGGTTGACAGGCTTTCAAGCCACTGTCAGGCCACTATGAAAAGGTTCTGTCAATGGCAAGGTTAGGTGGCAGTGTTGCCTAATCAAAGGCGCCTTTTGTATGATCTCGCTGAATCCAATTCCAATGTAACATTTAGCATCTTTGTTGTGTCTGCTTTTGACACATGCAGTCGGCAGTGATTAGAGAGGGCGAATTAACTGCCGCCCGAGCTCTATGGCAAATCTACTTACACGCGTCATTAGCATGAGAAAATTAAAGTCTTGAGCAAATATTTGCGTTTCAATCTGCGCCAGCGGTCGCAGTGAGGGCAGTTGGCAGGGGCGGATGCTCAGCAGCAGTCAAACTGCAGTGGACGTGCACACACAGCTACTATTCACTGTTCTCTTGGCTCTTTGGGCCGCATCGAGGGAGGCATTTGACCCTCTGACTGTTGTGAATGGAGTTCAGCTCGACGCTGTCAGCCAGCACAAGTCTAGCACTGTGTTTGGACAACAAAGCAGCAGCAGCAGCAGTTCATCATCACCGGCATTGACAGTGGCCATTTTTTGCCTTTGGAAAAAAGTTTGGAGAAGTATGCCGTATACTGAACGGGACAGAGCAGAGTGTGCGTGTGCCAGACAGACATCACTGGCAGCTTATCTTGACACGAGTCAACAGTTAATTTTTCTGATTGATTTTATTGCCTCTTTCGGTGCTTCGTTAGGCTAAAACGGCTGCATCTCAGGCCTGCTTCTTTCGCGCGCCGCCCGAATTATCGAGCTCGATTATCACTGCCAGCCGACTTGAGCAGAAGAGTAGAGCTGTTCACAAGCTACTCGAATGCGGACAAATGAGGCTGTTGTCCGGACGAGTGCAAACGAGTGCGAGGCTCATCACCGCCATCACCACCACCACCACCATCATCTTGATCATCATCTTCATCGGCACTGCCATCACATGAGACATTGCAGAGGCAAAGAACAGGCGGCGGCGACTATATAGTGGCGATAAGATTGCCAGGTCGAGTTGGCTCGTTAGCTGGCGAACCCAAGCTAACCGGTGCCTGTGCAGACAGTGCCACTGTCTGAGTGCCATATCACGGGCAGCTAGAACTCAACAGCTTCTTCCATGCTCAGGATGCTTGCCGCAGTCAGCGACAACAGCGCATTAGTGCTCTCTTTGAAATTCTGACGCTCTTCTTGGCGCCATCNGACAGTGCCACTGTCTGAGTGCCATATCACGGGCAGCTAGAACTCAACAGTCTCTTCCATGCTCAGGATGCTTGCCGCAGTCAGCGACAGCAGCGCATTAGTGCTCTCTTTGAAATTCTGACGCTCTTCTTGGCGCCATCATCCGCATCGTCAGCGGCAGCCGCTGCAATCGGCACACCTCCACTATAGGCCGACTCAGTTTCCGCCTTCTCTTCTGCTGGCTGCTTTTCTTGCTCGGGACTGATGCCATTGGAGGCAAGCGGATTCTCCGGCACAGACGCCACACAGTCCGCTCTGCAATGACTGTGCTCACAGTGATCATTGCGCCAGAGAATTTACTGGCGGCATCAGCGACTGCAACTTCAGTGCTGCAATAGCTCCACTACGCTGACTTTGCTTCCTACAGCTACAATCTTCAGCATCATCACCACCAGGATTACTACTGCAGCCGTTCCCAATCAAAGTGGCTGCTGAATATATCACCAGGCAAATCACTGTCGCTGTCATCTGCGCTGCTGCACACAGCATCCACAACAAGGAGTCTCTGAAGACTCACTTTGTCAGAGCACGACATCTCAACGTCGCATCGCAGTACGATAACAATTCAAACAGCCAACTGCCACCACTACTTTGGACCAACTTCGATGTTATTCAACTTTTTCCTCTTTTTCTGATAAGCATTTAAATGTTTTTGTGCTGCTCCTTCCTTTTCTCCTAGTCGTCCCAACCATTTTTCATTTCCTACATGTGAGTGCACAGCTCGATTTCAGGTATGTTCAGCTCGATTTGATGTTCATCTTCCACCAAACTCGCTATTGTCCGTTGTCCATCAATATCCTTGCCAAAAGCTAGCCATATGTCGCGACAGCGCCATTTGCAGCATTGTTTGTGGCGTTGCTGTGAAACCGAAATCGAGTGCCTAGATCCGATGATCACATGCATTGAAAGTTAGTTTACTACGGCGAAAGGAAACATTGGAAACTTAATACACAGGCACACCGGTCTGCATCCCAGTTGGCCCGATTTTTTTTGAACAATAACCCACCGAGATATCAATGGCACTGGGCCCCTATTCCTCTTTCTTCATTGTCGTTACTTTCTCTCCCAGTCTGTGCAACGACTTCATTACTGCTGCAAAAACTAGCAGCTCACACTAAACAAATAGAAATGTGGTAGGGCCTTGTCAGGCAACTTGTTCGCCAGGACCGATGACAATGCACTGAGGAGGTAAACAATGTCAAATTAGCTTGACCGCAATTGTTCCCTCCGTTTACTGTTCTTTCTTCTTCCTTCTTCTCATTTGCTCACGTCCTCTCAATTGCCACTAAATAGAAAGCGCAAAAGGCTTTCTGAAGCGTAGAAGTCAGCCTTCTGATCGACTACTGTAATTTATTACAGTCTGTGGGCCCGAGAGGGAAAGGGAGAGAAGGAGAGCACAAAATGATGTCGCGCATCGAGTGTCACTTGGTGGAAGGCAGCTCTCGAAGCAGCAGCAGCAAAATCTACACTACGTAAATCGGTGTCGCTTGTTTTAGCGTCATGTAATGAGCTGCTAGTACGCACTGAAGTTTGCGGCAGTAGACAGCACAATGAACTCCAAACTGCTCTTCTACTCTACCTCCTTCGATCGATGGCTTCGAGATTTTTATCAGACTGGCGCGCGCGAATAGTGCACCTCCAGTGGGCAATGGCCACGGTGAGGCAGAGCAGTAGCCAGTCAGCCAGCCAGACCGAGAGACAGACTAAGTGGTCATCAGTGGCTAGACACTGTCGAGGAGGACAGGTAATTTGTCACTTCTGCCCGGTGACCATTCATAACGCAGTTGACAGCACCGAACAGTAGTGCCTTTTGTTTTCACAGCACACAGACTCGTCGCGACGGTATTGTTCGCCGATGAGCAGCACAATAAGACGGTAAGACAAACAAACGGGTGGAATGTGTCCAAGTGGGCAGTCGTCAGACGACGTTGCTGCAATCAATTCAACAGACACAAACGAGAGCAGCCTTGTGCATAAAACACTTTGTTCTGAGAAGTTCATTACCTACTTACATAACAACAACAGCAACAGCAACAGAAGACTGCTCATCGACTGATTTACCAGGTGAACTACAGCTAATCCACGCTAATCTAGTGCCGCCCAGTTGCTGTAGTCAGATGCCAGCAGCACAATGGCGACAAAACATTTGAAAGGTCGCATTTTAGTTTCTCTTTCTTTTTTTGCTGTTCCTGGTTGTTTGTTAGCACTGCAATAGTGTGCCTTGAATTTAAAAGCCAACGTTGCCAGCCAACCAGCCAGTCAGCCAGGCAGACAGGCAGACAG